TACTACTACTTACTACTACTTACTACTACTTACTACTACTTACTACTACTACTACTACCACGACGACTACTACTACTACTACTACTACTACGACTACGACTACGACTACGACTACGACTATGACTATGACTACGACTATACGACTACGACTATGACTACGACTACGACTACGACCACCACGACGACGACCACGACCACGACGACGACCACGACCACGACTACTCCTACTACTGCTACTACTACTACTACTACTACTACTACTACCTACCTACCCACCGACCTACCTACCTACCTACCTACCTACCTACCTACCTACTACTACAGTACTAGTACTAGTACTAACTCGGAGAAGCAGCGCACCGAGTGCAACGCACCGAGTGCACCGAGTGCATCGCACCAAGTGCAGCGCACCGAGTGCATCGCACCGAGTGCAACGCACCGAGTGCAACGCAACCAAGTGCAACGCACCGAGCGCAACGCTCCGAGTGCAACGCGCCGACTACTCCTACTACTACGACTACCACGACGACGACTACTACTACTAGTACTAGTACTAGTGCGAGTGCTAGTACTAACTTGAGAACCAGCGCACGGAGTGCAACGCACCGAGTGCAGCACACCGAGGCCGAGTGCATCGCACTGAGTGCAACGCGCCGAGTGCAACGCACCCATTTAACGCACCGAGTGCATCGCACCGAGTGCAACGCACCGAGTGCAACCTATCGACTACTACCACCTCCACCACTACCACCCTGCAGCGCACCGAGTTCAGCGCACCGAGTGCAACGCACCGAGTGCAGCGCACCGAGTGCAGTGCACCGAGTTCAGCGCACCGAGTGCAACGCACCGAGTGCAGCCCAACCCGAGAACACCACATTGCATCCAGTCATGCTTACCCGCTACACCGTTTTTTTCTTCGAGAAAAGGGCTAACACACACTCACACACACACACTCAGGATAAGAGGTTCAGCAGGCTTCCTCTAGTTCCAAGGGTACACACACATACATACATACACCATCACACACCATCAAACACCAGAAATTTTCCATTAAGCTCGCAAGACCACGAGACCACGAGCCAGGAGCATGTGGGTCCGGTGACGGAGTGCCAGGTGCAGAATGGCCGAGCGACCGTACGGTTTGAGTGTGAAGATTTGGCCCGGAAGGCGATCCAAAGCTTTGATGGGGGATTGGTGGAGAGTGTCAAGGAGAAGATGAGGGACTTTCCGGGCCTCTCAGGGGGGCCAGAGGGCGAAAACTGGGATGGGAATGAATTGGGAATCCCTTCCATGAGCGGATGAAGGCTGAGGTGGGAGTTGATTTCCATTCCATGGTACCCCTTTGGAAGGAAACACTTGCCAAGGCGACCAAGGACTTAGGGACCATGGAGTCAGATGCAATCGGGGGGACTGATGCTCGATGCAGAATCCAGAAACGAATCTTTCCCTCTTTGACCGGATCCTGCACCACCTGAGAACCATCCCAAATCCTCTTTTGAACAGATGGACTTTGACCGGATCGGCGCTGGCTTTCTTTTCCATTTCCCCATTTTTGCCCGCAGGACACGGGAGAATTCCTCCTCTACCAGCGTGAGAACCTCCGGAGTTGCCTGGAGGAGCATGTGGGCCCGCTGACGAAGTGTCAGCTGCGCAAGGGTGATGGACGCCTGTCGCGAGATGGGCGATGCTTCGGGCGGAGTGCAGAGGGGGTGCAGTCCGGATGGAGACATCTTCAATCATCTTCAGATGGAGTGAATCAACTAGGGGGGTCTTCCAAAAAGATGAGATCGAAGGTCGCTGGGCCGTTGGTTGAAAATGGCTGATACTTTGCTCACATGGTTCCCAACTCAATGACTGAGTGTTGAAGGGACGGCACCAGGATCAAGCCCTTTGTGCGGGTTCAACACAATGTAAATGTCAAGCACACCCTGTAGAAATTGCACGTTGGCACTGATGAGTTTGGCATCTTAGTAGAGTAATGGAATGGTCTTCGTTGGGCAATGCCTTCCAAAGTGTTCATTGCCCCGCTGCAGGACTGTACAAAGCACTTGAAGATTCGAGATATTTCGGGTGTCGGGATACACTGGGACAGGAAGACGGCAGCTCGTGCTTTCGGCCCGCCTGTGCTGAGGATGGGCCACTGTTTTCACCTCAGAAACATTCTCGCAGTTGAAGAAAACACAGCAGAACGGTGGAGCCTCAGTGGACGCTTGGAAACTGACAAGAGAGAGAGAGAGAGAGAGAGAGGGGGGGGGAGGGGGGGAGGGAGGGAGGGAGGGAGGGGGGGTTGCTCCTTTCTAGCCAGGAGTCGGCTAAGTATAACATTAGGACGTGGACACTTCTCTCCATCTGAAGGAAGCGACCATTGTTTGTATATAGAGGTGCCTACGATAGATATCATAGCAGCTTTGCGGCTTTGCCCATGAACTGCATGGATCTTGATGTTGGTCAACGGGCAATGAGCCATCGAATCAGGGTAAGGATGGGATGAGCGTGGTGCTTCTACAAACATTAACTTCAGCCACATAGTGGGAACACTCCCACACCAGCAGCGGCAGCAACAAGGTTCAATCCTTCAACCGTCTCCCCCCTACCACCAAGACCTCCATCTGACCTGGGGGGCCCAGCCTTCGACTCGCCATGTTCCAGGAGTCGAAGGCGTACTTCATCAACGTCTCCAGGGAGGTTTCCGTGCCGTCGAAGACGCCGACGGCATCCTCGCCGTCGGCCTCGCCGTTCCCGGTACCGCCTGGACTGGAGACGGACAACGCCTGAGCCGTGGATGGAAGCTGAGCTGACATATCGGGTAATTGGCGGCTGACCGAAAAGATTCGGAAGCCCAACAAGTCAGTTGTGAACAACTGATTGTGAAGGATAGCAATTTGTAGTTCAAAGTGTCGAAAGAAGGGCAAACTTCTGGTGCCCTGGCCGAAATGGCTGGCAGAATGTGATTATGTTCCGAATTTTGTACAGCAATGTCAAAGACCTTGAAAGTAGAGGCCGACGAAGACTCAATCCCTTTGGTATATAACGATCAATCGACCAGCAGTATATGAGGAAGATTGAGAAAGATGATAGCAGGCCTTTGACACCGTTCCGTTGCATCAATTCGACAAATCTCCCATTGTGGGTGGGATGTGTTCCTCAGACATCAGTCTGATCAGTCTGAACTCCTATACCAGAGACTCACAAGTTTTTGCGGAAAGACACTCGTGTGCGATTCTCGACTGCTGGTGGTGTGGAATCGGAATCCCGGCTGGTGTGGAATCAGGCGCTGGACATCCGGGGCAACACGGTGAACCACACCAATGTCTCTTTTGAAGCGCCACTCGACCTGTAGACGCGCCGCACTCTGTCACATCATACGGGTGCCTGCTGCAGATTCACAGCGTGCTGGCCATCTTTTCCTTAGAGGCAAACTAAGTTAGCCCCTGTCCGCAGCGTTTGGAAGACTAGCCATGTCGAAACAGGACTCTACCAACCACCATGCCTCATCCGAGGCGCTTTTACCTTGACAACTACACCGGGGGCTACCTACGACCCTTGAGCTTCAGGCAATCATCGGGCACCGCTGGCAGACCATTCTCGAGCACCGCGTTCGGCACAGAGAAACTGAATCACCAGCGACGAGTGATCCTCTGCGCCAGCGACGAGTGATCCTCACATGCGGCATGCACATACACACACACGGTGACTAGTCGCGGTGCGTGCTTCTGTCCCTTTTTGTCTCCAGCAACCATAGTTTGGCCATCTCAACCTATCGGTTGGTTGATTAAATAGAGGGGATACCCTCAAGATCCCTCAAGTGTACCACCAATAGGTCAATAGGTCTAATGTAGACTCTTGAATAATGAACCCTTCTCAGTTGGATTGAACAATGAAAAACCTCTTTCTATGGGGGGGGTTTATTAATCAAGAGTCTGCAGGTTTTCGTACCAAACCCGACCCCACACCTTCCCAAGTCCATCGGTGTCCACCGCGTCCCGACGGGATGCTTCGGGTGTTCCGCGGAAGGTCTGTGCCTCTGATGTTGCAGCGAACCACGGACAGCTGGCTCCACGACCACCTTCACGTCATGGTGCGCAACTGGGCGAAGCTGGGGGCGTCACAGTGTTGGCGTGTGAGGCTCAAAATGGCTGGCGATCCTGTCAAAGGTTTTGGTTTTAATGTCTATTTAGAGATTGGGTTGGATGGAGATTGGGCTGTTTAAAGATGTTGAATGTGTGTGCGTGTATATAACTGTATATTATATACACAGTAACTACCCAACATCGCGGGAAGGATTTCACCGAAGAATCACCTTCTGGCACCAGTTCTGGTCATGCCATTTCTCCCAGTCTTCTTGCACCAACCAAGGCCTTTTTTTGCATGCTGAGCCATGTTCGCAGCCACCTTTTCATGGCCTGCCCAGAAAGGGGAACTCCGCCGCTCGCGGGACATGGCCAGGACTTTGTGTTGATCGAGCCGGGGAACTACACGATGGAGCTGGATTTGGTGGGAGCGGGTCCTTTGGCCGGGATCTCAGTGGCGAGTACAACAGTGGGCAGCAGGGTAGCAGGGTAGCCATGTTATGTGCAGCTGTGGTTTGGTGATGCAAAATCACATGAACTTCGCAGATTGGCCAAGCTGCAGCGGCCGCCCCGGCCGCCTGGCCTCCAGCGGCCGCCCAGGCAGTCAGCCCGCTGAAGATTCTGGCGGCGCAAGATGATGTTCAGCCACAGATGTGCACCGTCGCCGCTCGGCGGGGAGGAAGCAGCCGAAGTAGTGGAAAGAGGCAAATGTGATTTTTGTGCCATTATGAAAGAAGGGAGGTTTGTGAGGGAGTTGCAGCTGAAGATCAATTTTCAGGGATGTTCTACAGCCTCGGCATGATGATTCCAAGGGCCCTCTTAGAGTAGACATCATCGGCGGTATGGTCCTGATATCGCAGGATATGCCGAGGCATAGCGTGTTCAAGGAACCAGTCCACTCACCCAAAGGTCGCGGATCGTGCAACTCAGCCTGAAACTGGAACTCGCATCTTGGTTGAAACCTTAGGAGTTCACCTTGGAATCCTAAGCCGTGGTTGAAATCCTTTCACCTTAGTCCTGCCAAACAAACATCGAAACCTTTTGGTTGAACATGCATGGGAACCATCAACCCGTCGCCACCTGACGCCGCGACCGAGTCTGGATCTGGCGCAACCAGCTTCACTGCAGGGGTGCGGCGATTGGGGGGAGGGCGGGCCAAGCTCCAGAGGTGGATTGAGAATGAAAAAGAGACCAATGACCAGTGGTCCGCATTCTTTTTTCCCTCCAAGTCTTGAGGTGTGGGGCGAAATCCCGCTCTTGGGTTGAGGTTTTTGCAACGCCGAGGTGGATGACACGTTGATGGAGTGGTTTTTCGCATCCAATTCTGGGTTTGACTGAATGAGCACAACCCTGGTCCTACCGACGTCCAGAGAGGTTCCCCGACGGTTCCCCGACGTACCGACGGTGCGGCACTGGACTTGGCCGCGATCCGGACGACCTCGGTTGGCAGGTGGAGACCAACTTCACCCTTCAGTTGCGGGATGCCTTTCAAAACCCTGTGCCCCACATTGATGGCACGGAGGTGGAGATGGGAGATGGGGTGGGATAGAGCCTGGCTTGGCACGGGGCGTCTCTGAAGACATGGTGACACCAGAGGTCTTTGTTTCAGTCATCAGATTCATTGTTTTTAGAAGAATGCTCTGACCGGGACTACCGTGGCTTCACACCAACAGCTTCACATCAGTTGCAACACTGGCTGCTGAAAATAGCTATATACAGGGAGAACTTTGTCTCATACTTTCAGCTCAAAGAATGGCAGGGATCGTAACAAACATGTGAACCATGCTGGATTGGGTGGAAGCAGCAGCAGCAACAGCAACTGAGCAGTCCCAGCAGTCCCAGCTTCCGTCCCCGGCCAATCCATCTCTCTCCATCCTCTCGCAGCTGCCGGAGAAACAGCTTCCGGTTACCTCAACGCAACGCGTGGCTTTCAGCTGCCCGCGCTCAGCGACTCTTCGGTAGGTTTCAGTGGACTTGGCCTTCGTGGAGGAGATCAATCCCAACGGCACCCTGAACGACCGGCTCTTCCGGAACCTCACCGGAGGCGCGCCACGGCCGATCCGGTCGCCCCGGGTGAGCCCGGGTGACCCGGGCGATCCGGCAGAGATCCGGCTTCGATCCACCGTGATGGACGGAGGGTTCACGGAGGTGACTCGATGTCGCTGGAGCATGCGATGAGGATTGAAGGTTGTTTGGTCTCATCATGACTTCAAGTCTTGACCAAGAAGGCATGAAGGGCTCTTTCATTGATGTATGTTTTTTGGTTCCTGGGACAGGCTTTGTGACCCTTGGAAGTGGACTTGGATCCCTCTTTTCAAGTTTAATGAGGACGTCTTAAAATCAGACACTATTTGGTCAGAGGCCAACTAGATGCCTGCTGCTTGTGATGTCTCCCTACTGGGCTGCTGCTCACCATTCCTTTCCACTTTACACGCACCAGACAATCACAGAACTGAATCAACCAGGTTTGGCTCTGCAGGTTGCTGACAAACGGGGGGTGTGGCGTCCCAATCCCACGTTGTTGCTTTCCGGGCATTCTGCAAGACAGAGGGCCACTGGAGGGGAGACACGTTTCACAATGTTTAGGTGAGTCGACACTTGAAAGGTTTGATCGTCTTGAAGAGTTCATGAAACCAGATGAGCTTCAGATGAAGAATAGATGTGTGTGTGCTTTTTCAAGTGGAGAAACACAATTTTTCGTGATGTTTGCACAATGACATGACCATGAACATTCATTGGTTGGGGGCTCCCAGAAGTTGAGACACACCTGATGCAGGATTCTGCTATGATTCTATTGGAGATAACTATGATTCCTATGAGACATGTGATTCTTCAATTTTTGCATTTTTGGAACCATCATCTGCTGGACATGTGTTTCGCTCCAACAATCCAGACTCCATCAGGCCACTACACAACAGCCACCTCCATCACGCCGGGATGCCCATGCGTGCAGTTTGAGGTTTGCGGTGTGGCAGGATTTCTGACGCAACAACGCCTCCCTGACCGATGGAAATGGCACACGACCCCTGGAAAGAGCATTTTCCTTTACAACCAGGGGATGGTCCACGACGTGTTCACCGGTTCCCGGTCGGGACCACCCGAGAGACCACCGGAACCTGAGCAAACCGGAGGCTGAACTTGAGCTTTAAAGCTAATTGGAGGCTCACCGTCGAGGAGCGGAACAGAGCTCTCCAGGCGTTTTTCAACGTCATCCTTTGAGGAGAAGCTGTTCCCGGTCTTCCCCCTCCTGAAACCCTTCGGTCCATAAAGACCTAAAGTAGACTCTTGATTGGGTCCTATTGACAATTAATCACTATTTTTGAACAAGGCCGTTACTAACCATCATCATCCACTGTTGCCGGTATTAGGATCGATCCAAACTCTCGATTAATTTATATATATATATGTAACCTGTTTTGTTGATGGTGAGTCTACATTACTGCCACATACTGCCCCATCTTAGCTTCATTTTCCGATGCTCTAGGGACGACGGATGACGGATGATGCAGACGGATGATGGATGATGGATGCCAGGAAGAGCCCTCATGGCACCTATTTGATCACCTACACCGGGCTTCGTGCTGGGCTTAACACCTTGGCGGTGAAGGTGGGGAGCGATACGGGTGGGAGCAGTGACACAGGCCATCAAAGGAGATCCGACTGCCTGGGCCACGTGGCTTCGATTGGATGGCTAAGCCATCCCAACCCTGATGGAGACTGGTGGGGGTGGAGTGACAAGGTGACAGCCTAGACTCTTTGGATCCAACTGTCAAGCTGATTTGGAAGTGATCTCCAGCGCCAGGTCAATGGTCTGCTCATCATGGGCGAGGAGGAGCAGGCAACAGTTGGAGGTAGTGAGTCGAGATGCCATTTCCATCGTATATACAGTTGACAAAGCAATAACAACAAGACACCCTAGAGACACATACTTATCAGTGCTTTGTCTTTTTTCCATTGTGGTATTGCTGTCAATCCGCAAAAGCGCCACGTGGAGGAGAACTGAGGTGTCCGTTCTTATGTGGTGTAGGTGATGGACTTTCTACCAACTACAGGGCCAGAGGCATCTTCCACCAGAGATCGCCTGCGGGATGACATGGCAAAGTTCCTAATCGGTGTAGATTGCTGCAAGGACTCTGATTCGCCTCGGAGGGTAGAACAAAGAATTCAAAGTCCACCTTCTGGTGGCCATTTAGAATGAGGCTTTCCAGCTTTTTGACGAAGCCTCCCTTCCTTTAGCTGCTTTGACGGCAGGAAATGCATGTAACCGTTGGTTGGAGCTCCAGGTTGGTGAATGAATCCCTAGCAATTCGCACATTTTGAGTCCAAAGATCTTGGGTTCCTCTGGAGGCCAAACCCGTACTTCTGGGTTTGGGATACCCAATACCCATGTCTGGAGATCATTGGATGTTGACTAACCTTCACACGCTTGGTGGGTGACACCTCGTGGAAATCGATTGACAAGAATACACCTTCAGATCCACGTCTTTTGCCCACCAAGGAGACCCATCAACCATTCCTCCAACAGAACACGCTGTAGACACAACCAACACACCACGAGATAGTGCTGGCGCTGGAGGTGAAGTACAACCCACCGCTGCAGGGGCAGAATCTGTAGGGCTTCCCAGGGAATTGCGTTTGTGGAAGAGAGGCCTGGGCCAGGGTGTAGTGAAGATTGCTCTGTGTGTTTTTCAACACATACAGAGCAACACATAGATGCTTTGGAAAAGGACATTGAAGAATTGGGATCCATATGGAGCCATAAACATGTCATTAATGGACTGTCATTGGCTCCTTCTACCCTCCCAACAACTCATGTAGACCCTGACCCCCCTGAAGACTGTTTTGCCAAATGTTTGAGCATCTTGAGCATGGAATGATCAAATCACAGTGATTGACAGTACTCAAATGTTGCCAAACATCCGCTTTGGCAAAGTTTGCGATGATTGGGTTGGCCCGTTTTCACCGGGTTAACCTGCTAAGTGGGAGGCAACGACCCCTGGAAGGAGGAAAATGCACCAGTCTACCCAGCCAGGGCCGGAGGGGGTCTCCCTATTGCCCATCCAGGTGATGAACAAACATAACAATGATAAGAGAAAAAAAACATGACTTCGGGACATTGCAATGGATGCTTTCTATTTTTAAACCTCAGGTGACGAGCCAAAGCAACCTCTTTGTTTGCCACAAGGCCTTTGGAGGTCATCGGCACCTACAACCAGCGTGCGGATGGGCAGATGACGGTCTTTGCGCCGGCGAGGCGGCACCTTTTGGTCCTGGACCACCGCTCTTGAGACGGAGACGAAACGAAACGACATTATTTTTTTTGGGAAGAAACCATAAGAAGCATGTATAGCATGTTTTTGCCGACCCATTTCATTATCTTCCAACATTGGGAGTTCTTTTGTTTTTTCCACGTTAATTCATCATTCTTGCCCTCATGCCTTCTTGACCCTTGGTTGGATCCATCCATTACGCCCTGGAAACACTAGCCGTAGACCACTGGAAACAGGTTGCAATCCTCCCAGGCATAAACAGACACAAATCTCCCACATCCAGGCTTCCTTTGGAATGCACGACGGGGGTCCTTTGCTCAGTAGTGTGTGGCCCTCGGCATGGGTGTAACATTGGGTGGATGACATTTTGACCAGCGTCTAGCCACAGAAACCCTTCTTGCTGTCTTGTCAAATCAACAGAATAGAGATGGAACATGTAACATGAGCATAATAATATAATATATATATAGTGGATTATAGTGGTCTCCGCAACATGTTGGAAGGTGATTCACATTTTCTTCTGGTGACCATGACAAGGAGATTGGGGTTCAAAAGAGGAACCTTTCTTCTTGTGACTGCATTTGCAGTTTGTTTGGACATCAAGGCAACCCTGGCAACCCTGTGCCCCTCTGATCGAAACACGGTTCCTAAATCAGGCAGAGCTTGGAGTCTTCCAAAGCCAGCCAGTGAACCCATCCCCTTGAGCAGCCCTTGGAGATCTGAACAGCCCAGGTTCCATATGCGGGACACCTATGGGAACCGCATGCTGGCAGACTTCACGTCGCAGCTCCGGTACCACACGGCCTCGGTGCTGTGCAATCCGCGGGACATGGAGGATGTACGATGCACGCCAGTGGATGAGGCCCCTGTGGAGGGAGTGAAGCTGAGTGACGGTTCTTTTGGCATCCTTTGGTTACTCTTTTTGATGGCTACCTACCATGTTCAAGAACCCTATTTTGATAGCCATTGGCTTGAATATGTTTGAATAGCTGTCTTCTCTTCCATAACTGAAAGGGGTAGGTTCTTTTTGGGCTCTTGGAAGAAGGTGCTCTTGTTTTCGAGGCACGGAAGGTCGCCTTTCTTCGCATCCTTCGGGCGGTCGTGATGGTAAGGAGGTATGGATAGCGAAAGAACAGGGGTCAGGGTCGGGGTCAGGGGCGGCCACGGGCGGCCACGTCTCGCTGCCCAGCTTGGCTCAGAGCTGCTTGGAACTCGACTCGTGGCGCACATGGGTCTGTGTCTAATATGCCTGCTGGCAGTATCCATTGATGTTTACGCGCAGATCTCGGCACCCACGTCCTGTGAGATCACCCAAAGCTCCTTTTCGGTCTCGAATGTGCAAAAGAAGACCTACTCGGTCTCGAGCTCGGAAGAGAGGCCTCCAAGCTGCTATAGACAACTGCTTTGGATTCGGTTTCTCTTTGGTATTTTGCCAAGTAGGCGTCCTTCGAAAACGGGAGTTCTTTCAGAGAGCAGACATGAGCAGAGGGATTTCCCATCCGAACCACAGGGCCAGAGTTGGGAGTGAACTTATGTGAACTTCAAGTTGATAGATATAGAATTTGAACAATAAAAGCAATATTCTCAGCTTGAACACATGTCTTGGACATCCATGCATTTGGGATCTCAGTAGGCTTTTGTTCCTTCCCTAGTGATGGAGCGGGTGGTTATCGTCGCAGACCTTGGCGAGTTGTGCCCGAAAAAGCTTTCACCGTTCGACACGTCCCTCGCAAGGCAGCAGTTGATTTAATAGAGGGGATACTCCCCAAGTGAACAACCAATAGGTACCATGTCAAACCGACCCCCTCTATTATTCCCAAAAGGACCTCCTGCAGTGCTTCGTTTTGTGCCATGTCGTCGGTGCTTCGATTGTGAAAGCAGCTGACCCTGAGGCTCCACTACGACCTTCAGGTGGCTTTGCAAGGAACCTGCAGCAGCAACACGGGAGAAACTCAGTGGGTGAGTTCCAGCAGCACTAGGACTGTGCAAGTGTATGGCGACTCCTGGACACACAGGCAGGATTTCAAAAAACAAAAACACAACTAGTGATTGACAGTACGACAGAACGTTGCAAGACATCCGCTTTGGCAGAGTTTGCGATGATTGGATTGGCCCGGGTTCACCGGGTTAACCCTGCTAAGTGGGTGTATCGAGATAGGGAGACCTCCCAGTTCGACCCCCTGGAAGAAGGAAAATGCACCACTACCCAGCCAGGACCAGGGGGTCTCCGACATTGAAATACACATCCAGTGATGAACCAACATCTGGTGTTAATCGTGAGACACGGTTGAGGTGTGCCAAGCAGACGATCTTTTTTGAAGGACGTGTGGACATGTGTGGACAGCACTCTCATGGTGGCTCTTGGCTTTGAAGCCGTGCCATGTCCCAAAGAAGCATCAAAACATCTCAACACATTTTCTTTGACGACCCACATGCCCATGTGGGAGTCTCAGAAAAAAGAAGACATGCTCCTTCCGGGAAGCCGTGGGCTCACAGGACCGGAGACGTCTATCATCGAATCAAGTTGAAAGAGACGGGAGAGAGCGGCGGTCTCACCGTGACCGATGCAGACGAGGCGATGCGATGCTACAGCGAGGAGTTCAAGGGAACTTGGACCAAAGGCTGGGCCTTTAAGACCAAATAAGACGGTTGCATGAACAAACCTTCAATTTATACAAAATTTGTCTCATTTTGGGGTTCTTTGACTGCGCTTGGTTTTCCTTCCCGTTTCGATTTCACTCCCAAAGGTTCCGAGTTAACGTGCGATTCCACGACCGGCAGCATCAGCGGCGACTGCCGCGACCTCTACAATGCCGTGGAGGTCTCGGTGTGCTACGAGGTGCAGAATCCCAAGATGTGCATCGACCCGAAACAAGTCTCGGGGACACTGAACATCTACGCCAAGTTCCACCTCAAAGCGGAAGGAACTTCAGTGCAGTCCAGTCCCACGGTTGCAGTAGACATGAGCCAGTACTACGATTGCTCAGGTGGTGACGAAGTGTCCATTCTCTCGAGCATGGCCGCAGGAGCGGCAAGGGTGGGAGGGTCTTTGGTTTTGATGCTCCTGTACTTCGTGGGCAGTGGATGAAAGCGATATTTCACGGCCAAGGCTGAGTGGACACAAATGACATTTGAACCTGCAGTCCAATGGTGACGTTGCGGGACGTTGCATGAATGCATGAATCGTTGCATTGCATGAGATTGAAAAAACTCGTTGCTCCGATGAGGCAGGTGCTCTCCCTGCTTCAAAAAGACTCCCAAATCAGGTCAAGGGCTCATTCCAAGTCTGGGGTTGAAATCATTGAATGCTTCAGGATGCAACAAGAACAATGCAATCCAGCATCGATGGCCTTAGAAGCACTTGAAACGCCTTTTCATTGGTCGACGATGCCAATTATGTTACCTTTTGGGACAGTCTTCACCAGCATCGGCTTCCACATTGCCTCCGCCTGTGACTTGCTTCCAACCATAGGGCCTGGAGACGGCCGACTCCTCATTGGCCCGGCTTCGACCCACCGAGCCACGCGAGAGCCGAGCCGAGCCCCGAGCGCAGGGCGAGTGCCGACACCTCTTCGGTGAGATGCACACCTGCGACCTGGTGCCCACCATCGGTGGGAACTTCCTCCTCAGGCGCGCAAAGGGGGCGCTGTTGGGTGTTCCGGAATGGCTGGATGGCGGCTGGGAGGTTTTGGAGGTATACTTGGGAGGTTGGCTGATTGGTTTGTTGATGTTTGTTGGCTTCATGATGTTTTTACATTTTTTCGATGTTCATTGCTGCGGTGATTTGGGGGAACTGGGGGGGCACCATTGGCGTGAGCGGGCCTAGATCAAAGCCGTCGAATGCCCCTGCCACCCTTTTCGGTTCCAGACCTATTGGACAGGACCCTGTTCCAGCTGGCTGACCAAACCCAATACTGCATCATACTGTATCCAACTTGACAGCCGAAGGAATTTGGTGGGCTGTTCCCGGCAATGATATGCTTCAGCGAATCCTTGCGCATGACAGGAAAGCCTGCAGCCCAAGGGGTTGTGGCTGTCGGACTCCGGTGAGTACACTCCGGCTCACGAACATGGAAGTGGAGTTCACCCCCTGTTCGTAAAGGAAAGCAGTCTTCCAAGGGACCATGCCATCCACTTCCGGTGAGTTAGAGTGTAGGTATTTTTTGCCGCAGGCTCTTGGTCAATGAACAAGATGCCTCCTTTGGCCTCTGGGCGGTGCGCAGCTGCGGGGGGTCGGGGTCGAATCAGTTGAGAAGAGGAGCAGGGCCAGCAGAGGTCGTTCTAAGGTGTGAAATTGATCCCTTTGATTTCTCCTTCTCCTTCTCCTTCTCCTTGTCCTTCTCCTTCTCCTCCTTCTTCTTCTTCTTATTTCTTCTTGCTTTTGGCATTTTGGGAGCTCATGTCATTGGCGATTTGATGTTATTGTATATATATTTGTCTTTATCGGTGGGGTTGAGTTTGACAGCTTTGGGTTTTGGAGGTTAGACGTTCAGGTTCTTTCACACCGAGTCGGGGAGTTCGTGTGCCTCCCATTTTTGGGTCGTGACCTTCACACGCTTCCACGCGGCTGGGTGTGCAGCAGTGTCAGATGACCGGCCCGTGGGGTCACACCCCAGCTGACACCATGTGAATCGCTCGGGTTCTTAACTTGATTCATTCTCGAATTCATCACTTGGAACCGACCCCCTGCTCCCCTAAGCCCCTCGCAGTCGGCGATGCGCGCGGCCAGGAAACCGGGAATGTCTATACCTTGGAGGCGGGCCTCAGCTACACGCAAGGCCCCACGGAGATCCTGATGAACATTGGAGTGCCTTGGCCCAGAGCTGGGTGTAGCTGGGTGTAGTTTGGAGATCCTGTGGGTCTTCTCCTCCGCTTTGTGGTTCGGTCGTATGGAAGAGACCCGCTGGTATCGCCCTTCAAGCCAGGGTGATCAGCGACCTGAGACTGATCTCTCTCGCACTCAAAACGAAAGGCAACGGGACCTCGCTGGGTGCGGGCTACTTCTTCCCAAGGTTTACCAACGCTCTTCTTTTGCTCTTGGCGCCATAGGCTGTAACCAAAGTTTACACATGTTCCCATTGGAGAAGAGCAAAAGGTTTACCACATAAACAATCACCAAAAGGAACACGGGGTCAGACCCTGGCAGATCCGGCGCCGAGTGGACCCGGCTTCCGGCTTCGGACCGGGCCGGTCTCGACCGCACCGATCGCCAAGGACATCAATACGTCCACCTCCACGGTGGAAGGGCCTGGACTTGACCTTGCAGGTGGGGGTCTTGGGGGGGTTGACCACAGCTGTCTGGCGAGCGAAGCGCTCCTTTTCCATGTCACGTCCATTCAGGGGGCTGGTTTATAAAAGCGGTGTCTGTGTGTCTCTGTGTGTGCGTATTTTGTTTTTTCATATCGAATGCTCGTCTGGCCATGCAAAGGATGAGAGGCAGCATGTCAGTCATTGATTGCCACTTGTCTTGAACCACGCATGTGCCTATCCTGAGCTCGTAAGCCAAGAGATCTCTCACAGTGTGTAACACTGCAGGCAACGTGGTGGGTGTTCCAGTGATGGTCCTGGTGCAGTTGAAGGATCAGTATGGCAACAACCGCTGGGCACCCAGAGCGTCTTGTGGAAGTGGGTCTGAGTCAAAGTGAGAATTGTTGCGAAGATCATAACTTCCCCCCAATCAAGCCTCCTTCACTTTTCTCCTTCACAGAGAGGCCTTCAGGTGGCCTGGTCGGAGATTCCAAAGTCTCTTCCATCTCCAGCGCTCCATCTCCTCCTCCTCGAATCACTTTTCTGCAGCTTCTACCTGGGCTTGCACATCAAAACCCCTCGATCGGGACACCCAGCAAAACCACCCCAGAAAAACACCAACCAGCTTTGAAGTCCTCACCCATTTGTCTTCCGCTTCCCTCGGATCGCTTCCCATCGGAGCGCGCGCGGCGAGACATCGCCGTCCGAGGCATCGTGACGGGCAGCGACTTCCAGCAGCGCCTCAACGGGATCCTCGCCTCGCTGGGCGACACGGCGCTGGACACCGTGGTGAACGACAACGGGACCATCTCCGTGACGGCGCGGTGCGACGTGCGCGGCTCCGCGGCGCGCGCGATGTGTGCGGGAACAAAGCGGTGGATGGTGGATGGGGTGAAGGGGAGGGAGAGTGACAGGAGGGGTCATGTCTGGGGCTGAATGTGCTGGAAGAGGATTGAAGCCAGAAGGTGGACATTTTGTGATGCAATGTGATGTATGAAAGAATGCGAGGACTGTGCAATCTGCAGCAAGTCAGGACGTGACCAACACACTATTCTAGGCATATAGTGCTTACAAGAAGGAAAAGGCAGGCAACTCGGAGGAGTGTTTCCCACATGCATGGGACCGTGCCACATGCAACCCTTTCTGAGCTTCAGTGTCCAAACTGTAGAGTCCTCGCTCTGTTTGCGGCTCCCGACCGGATGGTGTCTTGAGGCCACCCTTTACCAGGTTACCATGCCCCCAAGGTCCTGGAGCTCACAGAAAGGATTCTTGCGACTCCCAGCGACAGGTGCAAACGATCATCGCCGGCTACCATCGGCTACGCATCCGAATGGGTATTGGCTGCCTACAGGCTGGGAAGAAAGAATGCATTTGAGCCACACCTGCGCAATCCCACTTTTGTGGTAAGACTTCACTTACTTGCTCGCTTGATCTCTTGTTGAAAAGATAGCCATCAAATCGCTTCCGTACCAACTGGAGGAGCCGGAACTGGTTACCACTTTACAACCTGTAACTGGGATCACAAGCACATATAAATTTGGATCCTTAGCAGCCATAGGATACTACAATCAGTACTCTAATCACTGACCAAGCAACTTGTGGAACCACATGGCTTGCTTGGTTTGCTGGACGGTCCAGTGTTTGCTGGAGGCCAACCCAGTGGAGCTCTGCGATGATATCTCCGGCTCACCCTCGGAGCTTCTGTGTCGCTCGGTGGGGGGCAGAGTGGCCGACTCAAGGACTGTAGGATGAGAACTAGGAGCAAGAGGACTGTATACTAGTAGCTCCTGGTGGTCCCTGCACCATGCACAGTAGACTTTTGTTGACACCAAGGACTCCGCGGGGGGCTGAGAATAAAAACCAACGAAGCCTTCCAAAGACACCTGAAATGCCGTAGTACCCCCCCTTTCCCGTTTCCTTTGTGAGTGTTGGGGTTGTATGTTTCATTGCCACAGAGATATGTTAGATTTTGAAGAAACTCCTGTGACTCAAGTGAAGAACAGCTGTGCCCGCTAGGAGACACTAGAAAATTAGGTTGGGGTTATCTCCGTTCCTGATCTCTATCTCTGCTGCTTCAGAGAACTTCAAGATCCAATGAGATCTCGGATCAGTGGTGGTTCTTCAAGAGCTGCTCCGTTGTGAGGATCTGCACACCTTTTCCATTTTTTTTCCTCAGTTCCTCCAGACATCCGGTTCTTCTTGCTCACCGAAGGTCTTCCGGTCTGAACGGCGCTGAGGGTGGAAGGCCGCGGAGGTCTCGGAGAACGGGATGACGTGCGACACGCCCTACATTTTCCAGGCGAGTCCAGTGGCGAGTCCAGTGGTTCTGCTGGCGGGGCGACTGAAAACTCTTTTCGTTGTGAGACTGGTGAAGTGACCGCCGAGACGGTGGATTGGGGGTCCAAGTGAGTTGCTCGTTCGATGGGAACGTTGATGATCCTGTGGACAATTCTGTTGGCCCTTCGGAGAGGTCACGTTTTACTGCCGCTTTTGTGTACCTTGCAGATCATTGCAGAAGAGGAGCACCAAAAGGCTTTGGGTGTGCAAAAAAAGGAGGGGACATGAGGGGACCTAACCAAGTGCTTTTGACATGTTGGACTTCAAACACATGGCGGTTGGCTGTCAGCCTCCGTCTCCCCCTGTCCGACGGACAGCACATAGATCTCACGTTCGATTGACCAGATGGACATGGACCCACCTGTGGTCAGGGGGGTTCCGGTTGACACCGGAGCGGAGAACACTGGTGGAGTGGCCAGGCGGGGACCAAGTATCACTTCACCTGCACTGGGCGGGATCTCTTTAGCTGCTCGGTTGAGAACTGGATGGCCACACTCTGCGGTGTGACCCAGAATCCATGATGGTGATGGTAGCTGCAAACTATTCCAGGGCTTTACAGTATAGTTCAGATTCCATTCCCCTGCAAATGACCAGCGTACTCTTTTTTGAGAACCGACTCGGAGATCAACTCGACAGCCGCGCTATTCTGCGCGGGTCACGACGTTGGGTGTCGAGGGCACGACTTTGGTGTGCCAAATGGGGCTCCTGCGACCCAGCATCAGCTCCAACCCTGATACATATATATATATACACACTAGACTGTATGCTGTATATAGACCTCACTCATCAGACGGTCGAAGCGCGTCGATGGCACAAAGGACACTCTGGTCGCATTGTGCCTGTATACTGTATATATGTATATACAGTAGTTTGTTTAACCGATTGACCTAGCCATCTGGTAGTAATTTTGATGGTTCAAGGTGATGCCTGTGATTCTCCTTGATCCGACCCTAAGGTAACCTCAACCCAGATCACGAGCTGCAACTCGTCGCCTATTTCGACTTCCAAGCGGACCGCTAGCTTTCTCGCGGTTGGGGGCGGACACCGGGGCAATGCCCGAGTGGACCTTCCAAATCCTTGCAAGGTAGTTCAGTGCTTTTTTGGGAAGTGACCAAGATCCGAAGTTGGAGATCTTCGGATATTGGTGTTCTGAAACTGTGCTTCGAAAGAAGATGTCCGCTCGGTAGAGGGTCTCTTTGAGAGACAGCAATATCAGGAACTTCTTTGCCTGAAGCTCTTTACACATCCCCAAACAAGGTTGTTTCAATTGGTCACTAAAGATTCTGTTGATACCGTTCATTTGCCCCCAAATCCAAGTCATTCTGCAAGGTACTCCATGCAAACAGTGGATACCTGCTTCAACTACCCTTAAGTCTGAAGCCGGCTTCCATGCAGGACCCCGACGGCAGCGTGCCACTGGACGGTTGGTTCCGCCGGGATGCCTGGTGAAGGGGAGAGCATGGAGGTGAATGCTTGGAGCGACATACGATATCTTGGGATCTGTACTGAACATAGATGACAAAAGGATGGTAAGGCTCCCTTGAACAGGGGCCTTACCTGGTTTTACTATATGTTCAGTAAGCCTTTCGTCTACTTTAAGGCTGTTTTTACCACGAAGATTTCGTGGAAACGAGGCTCATGGGATCTCATTCAAGGGAGTCTGGGCGGGGTGGAGCAGGTTGCGGCAGATTGAGCAGACCCTGGGGTGGTTGTTTTGTGCTTCGAAGAGCGAGATCCAGTTTTGCAGATTCACCATGTCGTCGTCAGATGCTTTGGACCGAGAAACCAGAACCGGTAGCCATGGTAGCCGACCTGTGTGGTGTCGGGAAAAAGATTCTCGGGCATGCAGTCCGACATGGTGTGGTGATCGTTGGCATTATGTTTGGGGTCCACGGGGGTATCATACAAAGCTCACATAAGATCACCATGCTTCTCGGCCAGGAGGGAATCTCACCGGCTACAATCTGAACCAAAGCTTTCGTGGCAGCTACAGCCCAGTGGACTCCTTGCCACTCGACCGGACGCAGCGGTCCGAGCGTCGAAGTCTGTCGAACTGCGGTCGAACTGCAGTCGAACTGCGCGTAGAGATCCGCGTCACTTGAAGAGGTCCAAGGAGAGCCATTGGAGGTCAGGCATCGGGCATATCGGGCAGCTTTTGGACCGTTCGTCCTGCACTTCTGTGCATCGACCAAGGGGGTCATCCATGACACCTTGGCTGTGGGTTTCCAGAGCCCAAAAATCACATATGGACCATCAATGGGCTGGGGATATAGATTCTATGGATTCTATCGACTTCGAATCTATTATCGTGTGCGTTTTGTTCGCATGATGAGCAGCTTGCTTTTGCTCGGGGTAAGGAGCTTGTTCTACGAGCTTTTTTGTGCGAGCTGCGCAGTACTGTTGGAACACCTGGCGAATCCAGGCGATGACGTCTGTCTTTAAGCACTAAGCACTGAGCATGCTCTTAAAGTCCCGATTTGATGTATTGCTTGGTAGAGACCTATAGGAGACCAGGTCCGGAGATTGGCGTTCACCACTCGCTTCGCTTGAACGGAGTCTCCCTTCGCTTGCTCCGACCTCGTCTCATCCCGGTCGTGTGCGAGGGTGCCGTGCCGTTGGCGATGCGAGGTACCACTTCGAGCCCACGGTCTACCGTGCCGGCTACTACAGCATTGAGATCTACCTCTCAAGAGGCCAGGCATGAAACCCTTGACGCTTTTTCTCCTACTCAAACGGCCGAAAGCGCTGGTCCTTCTTCATTCGTCAATTTCAGACACCAAAAGGCGATCCCTTGTGTCTGCTTTGAACCAAACAGAGCTGCCTCTCTTACCATGGGATGGAAGCGATTGTGATCTCCGGATCTGCAGGTGACGGAACTGGAACCCCTGTGCTGGTCTTGCCGAGCAACGTAGTAGCACTAGGCCTGGGCAGCAGAGGGCGGCATGAGTGGCTCGGTATGAGGACGCCGCTGCTCCAACGATTGTGGGGGACCCTGAAAAAAGAGCAACTCTGCCACCTCATGCACGGGGACCACCCAACTTCTACCATGTCCTAATTTGGTGGGGAATTCCAAACATTGTCAGCAGCAGTACAGTAGCTCAAATGCCGGCTCTTGTAAGTGCTACATGCCTATATTTACTACTTGATTTGCAATTGCACAAGCAACATTTGTTTTTAACGTAATAGGTGGTCATGCTCCTATTCCATCCCCGTTGGCAGCTCTTTTAGTTAGTCCTTGCTCCGCGGCAGGCCGGCCTCGAGGGGAGCAGACCATCATCCTTTGCACGCCCGCGCAGCCGTCGAACATGTCCTCGGTGGTGGTGCCCTTCGTCACCGCCTCGGCCACCGTGGCCAACGAGGCCTCGCTTGGGCAATCAGGGCCGGCGAACTCCCACTCAGTCGAAATAAAACAGGCATGGCACGGCCCTGGCACTGCTCGGAACTCTTGTCACATCCAAGCAGAGTGGTAGATGCCCCACAGAGGTCCTTGTTTGGTGAAAGGAGTGGCGTCTGAAGTGTCAGATCTTTCGGAATGTTTTGGAGACTTCCGCCACTCCACGGGCTCCACCGGCTCTGCACCGCAGAGTTTTCTCGACCGGCAGGTGAACATCCAGACGCGAGACCGCTTCGGGAACGCCATCGAGGTGAACGGTGGGGACATCGTCACAGGGCTCCTCTATGGTGAGCAACAGGCCGACATGTCGTTCGTGGGTTTGTTGCGTGCGGGGACGGTTGTCGAATGGCAAAAGACAGCAATCGGATGCCTTTGATGAGAACGAGCTGTCAACACTGGCCGAAACACGCCTAAACGATTTTTTACGCTCGGAGAGCCTATGACTTTTGTAAAGCTGTATGGCTCGAGCCTGCGATTTGGAGCAAAAAGCTCAGCAGAATGCTCCGTTTGGCAGGCAGGTCTTTCTACCATGCAGCCCGTGCTACGCGTGGCCTCCATGTCTCAGTGCTGCGCCCCGTAGTGGCACCGGCTCCGAGCTTCGCTCGGTCTTACGCGGCTGCGGCCGCGAAGCCCAAGATGGAGGATGGGACGCTGGAAGGTCGATATGCAACTGCTCTCTTTATGGCATCGAAGGACAAGTTGGACAAGGTCTATGAGGATTTGACCGGGCTCCGCAGCATGATGGCCGAGAGTCAGGAATTGAAGCTGGCCATTGAAACCCCCGGCATCGAGCCCGAGAGCAAGGTTGCGGCCTTTGAGGCCATTTGCAAGAAGGCGAGCATCGATGCGGCCGTGGTGAACTTTCTCAAGGTACTGGTGGAGAACAAGCGGGCACACCTTCTCCTGCGGATGATCGACATTTTTGAGAACTTCTACCGCGCGGAGAAGGGCTTGCTGCTGTGCAAGGTGACATCAGCAGCCCCGTTGACCAGCGCCCAACAAGACCAGGTGAAATCTGCCATGCAAAAGCGTGCGGAAGGCTCGAAATTGATCATGGAATACAACACGAACCCTGCACTGCTGGGAGGCCTTGTGGTGAAGATGGGTGAGGCTGTGTTGGACAACTCCGTGTCCACACGCTTGGAGCGTTTGCAGACTCAGCTGCTGGCACCAGTTGCCTAGAAGGCAGATGAAGCCAGGTCGACTGAATACTATGACCGGCGTAGAAGAACTCAAAAAATGAGAGCAAGGCCAAGCGCTCATGTCTGATGTTTTGGTGTCAAGAAAGACATAGCTTGACCTTACCCAATTCAGCCAGATCCGAGAGGTCTTGCTTTAGACTTTAGAGGAATTGCTGCCGCTGTACCAGGTCTTGCTGGGTTCAATGTGATCTGTGTTATTTGATGTTATTTGAATTGACATGAAGTGGTTGCATGGGGGCATTGTTTTTCCGGTCAAGCTTACCAAAGCGCTTCTATTGTTCACCAATCGAAACGTGAAGAGCCATCTTCCTGGGCCGTCCATCGTGATTTGCAAGCGTACACTCCTTTGGTGGTTTTGTTGCCGTGCTTGGATGATGGTGGCTCGACCTTCGATGGAGCGTGTCTCATCCGATCCGTTCGATTTTTTCGCTTGCGCCAATCGGGAGGTGAGTATCAGCTTCATCCACTTGGTGCAAGGCATCATCGGGACTCGTACGAACAGACCCACGCGGACCGAAGAGAGATGCGCTGACAGAGGGGCGTCCGAAGATCGGTCGAAGAAACGGCAGCTGGGTTTCCAAGGCAAAACTCATGGGAGTTGGGTTTGTCCGAACTTAACCTGTAGAGCCGTCAGTAAACAAGCAAATCACTATGTGCTCGTAATTATTCTATAGGGAAAGGCCTGCTGCAACCAGCTGGACCAGGCCCCATCATCAACCACTGCGGCCCAGGGAAGAGAGGATACACGTGTCCCATTGGAGGGGACCTCCCAATCTGCGGACACGTCGCCTGGGTCACATCTGGCCACGAGTCCCGAGACGCTTGTTGAAACGCACATCCAGCGGCCTCTTTCTCCAGTCGATGCGCCCTCTGCGAGCCCACTGAAACGCATCACTTCCATATGATGTATGGATATGTATGGATTCCATTGGGCTTTGGGGTTGTAGAAAGCATACCAAAAAGGAGCCTGATATTTTCCTTGATGTAAACTGCTGATGAAGACCCCCCATTGGCAAAACCTCTTCCATACAGGGGGGGTTTATCAATCAACTACGGTGGCCGTCCCCCCGAACTGCACCTGTCGACCCGTGTCGACCCGGCGGACCCGCCAGGCCGCTACCGTGGGGTGCTGGTGCCGCAGGATGCTGGAGCCACGGTGGTCGACTTCAAGGTGGCCGGAGAGTCCATCCTCGGCTCACCGTGACCGGGCGAACCCACTATACCCACTAGGGCGGGGGGGGGCTGTGACAGCTGAGATCATGGGACTCTCAGCGGTCGATCTGGAAGGGTGTTGTGGGAGAATCCAATCTGTGCGGGTGTGTGATTTTCTGGATGAGACATATCTGCATGTGCACTCCATGTTCTACCTTTACCATCCTTTTACCAACAGGATAGCTTCAAGGGTGGTCTTAGCGAATCGTCCATGAGCAGTCTTGTGCTGTTCATCCTTGTTTGGAGAGGCGGTTCCAGGAATTACAGAGACGCATCGGTATATAGCTATCAAAATCACGTGTTCTACCTCAATTCTCAAAATGAAGCACATGTAAGAACTGCAAGGACCAAAGGAGCCCATGACATGTCCCAATCATTGTTCTTTTGTTTTTTTGAAAAACACACACACATATTATATATATATATATTATTTACATTCCTCAATCACACCGATTCCCCCATTTCTTGTGGGCTTGGCCCAAGGCGACTGGGACGCTCCGTGGCGGCTGAGGTTTGACTTCCTAGTGACACCTGGGCCGATGGTGATCACGCGCTCGCTGGTCGAGGGCTTCCCTTCGGAGTTGACTGCAGGAAAGCTTTCTTGTTGGAATATTACTTTGAGAGACGTGGCCTGGATGCAAGAGGTGACCCAGAAACGGCCATGGAGAGTCTGCCTCGAAAGGGTTCGTTGAACTGAATGGATTGAAATCACGACTGGTTCGAGGTGATTCTGAAATTCAATCCATTTGGATTTCCAGGGCTCGTGGATCAGAGTACAGCTCCACACACTGGGAGCAAAGACCCCAGGGTTAAGAGACGAGTCATCCATGTAGCGGTCCACGTTCGGAGGTGTGACAGGTTGGTCAAGCCATGTCAAGGCTGATAGGTTGTAAATCCGAGTTCACGTTCGCCATGATCGCATGACTTCCGTCACATCAGCGATGCTGAGTTGTGCCTGTGATTTTGGCCCTGACAATAGGACCCACAGATGAGTACCTCATGGCCTAACGGCAGTAGGTTGTGGCAAAGCAGGGCACCCCCTGGAAGAGACCCACATGGAACCTGAAAACCACGCCCGGTTTGTAGAGGAAGATCGTTTTCCAAACATCCATTTCCAGGTTCCATGTGGGTCTCTTCCTGGGTGGAGCCGAACGCTCGCTCGGGTCGGTAGGAAGGTCGGTCGGACTTCTCATGTCCAAAGTAAACGTCCCGCCGCCCTATGGGCATCCTTTCTTTAAAACCTTCTGACAGCCTTCGGACTGGCCGGTAGCCTTCGTCTATGGGCATCCTCAAAAAATCCTCTTGAGCATCCTGTTGGACACGGCGTCTATCGTTTTTTTTGATGTCTCCTGTCACTGTCCCCGCTCGCGACTGGCCCAGAACAGCGAGAACCACCTGATGTCGGGGCAATTCGCGGGCAATGCCAACGATCCGACGTTGGAGTCCGTGACCTGCTCGGATGCCGGCTCCTACTGCAACCACACCGATTTGAGCCTTGAGCGGCCAGGTGCCAGGTGGACTGGCCGGCCCAGGTAGGACCAGGTAGGACGACAAGGGCAGTGTTCACGTGTGTTGGCCACTTGGGCGGTCCAGATTTAGGAGGGTATGGACAGTAGATGACGGTGGGCCTCTAGAGACAAACCCATGCTTTTATAACTCAACCCGTCATCGATTTCAACCGAATGGGGCTGAGCTTGCACCTGCCGGATTAGATCAGCCGCAGGTTATAAACTACAATTCAGCGCATTTTGCCTAAAGAGTAGCTGCTAGCTGTACATCTGCTGAAAAGCTGGTTCCGGAGTGCGAGTAGCAAAGATGTGTTCATCGAACGATTTCTGGGCATCACACAGCCGAAGCGCTCCTTACTATATACTAGTAGTAATGGCCTCCACCCTAGTAGCGATGGCCTCCAACCTAATAGCTTCTTGCAAATGAAGAACTCATGAAGTGAGAAACGGCTCCATCGAGTCAAAGTCGCATCCCGAACCCAATCAGCCTTGCGTTGGGATGCAACCAGCTGCAGCGATCGCGATCAGCGCAAGGAATGGGACCTTCACCTGTTGCATCAACAAGACAATGGTCCAAGAGGGCCAGGCAGCGTGGATCACATCATGTTAAACGTTATTAAACTGTTTAACAACAGTGAGCTTGATTTGGATGACTCATCATCCAACTAGTGTCTGCCTATCTTTGCATCATGCGAAGTGTAGGGCGCCAAGTCAGGCCCGGCCCAGGCCTCTTTGGTATGAGAAAATCCGGGGCGGCGCGGTGGGTGAACAAAGAAGAAACAGTCTAGATCAGAATGTTCATAGGAACAATACAACCTAAAACACCCCAAGCAAGAAAAGAAGATCCAGCCGATCTATCCGATCGCCCCACCACTAGGCCAACTACGTCCTGGATCAGTTTGCCTTCTCTTGCCGCGTGCGAGGATCGTGGGGAGGATGGTGGTCAGAACATTTCCGAGACGTTCGTTTTTTTCGTTTCACCTCTCATTCAGTCTTTTGATACTTTTCTTCTGATTTCATTGGGCAACAGTGTTTGGGCTTCATGTCGCTTCCCCCAAAACACTGCTTTTGCCACCAGATCATGAGTGTTGAACGTTAGATGTCGGGACAGAGATGATGTAATGTAGGTGGTACATTAGGTCAATAAGTGGATTTCACTGAGGTCGCGGATGCAGGCATCTATCTTTAATATATGCGCTTGATATTTGTCCCATACTAACGACCCACCCAGCTTATCAGTCATTGCCTTATGATTTGGGTACCACATGTGCCAGAGATTTCATCTCAAAAGGTGTGAGGTTCAGGATAAGGTTCAGAGGTATGTTCGCACAAGAGACCCTTACTTCATTGATCGTTCCCTTTTGATGCAGTCCTGAGAGAGTCTCTGGCGATCTGGCGAATGAATTCGCTGCGCTCGCGCTCTGGCGAACCAATGCCACATTCCGAAAAGCAGCGTGCCTCTCCAGAATTGTACATTCTCCCTACCATCCGTCGTCGTCTGTTTGAACAGAACGACCATCTCTCGTTGGATCCGAGGGGAGAATCCGTTTGGACGGACCTGCCAGGCGACGATATCGCTCAGCCAGCGCCGTGGCGAAATCCGACCGATGGTGGAATCCGACCGGTGGAGATCGCCGTCGTGGTAGAGGATAGAGATTTTGGTGGCTGCAGAAAGCACGTGCATTCATGTTTGGAGCCCTTCTATGAAACCCCTTTTGGAAGCTGCAGGGTCTTGAATGGACAACATCTATAGTCCATAGTTACTAGTCCTCGTGGTGTACAAGCAGCCCATGCAAGCGCGAAGCCCAATCCCTTGGAAAATCAGAGCAAATTGTATGTAGTCTTCCCCAGAGTGGAGAAACAACCGAGCCGATTCGAACGCATTGCAACTTTCAGCAAGCTTAGCAATACTTAGTAAGTCAAGCATCTATTTCTAAGCACAAGCTCCTACTGCAAGCTCAAGTGGATCTTAGATTCGCTGTTCCCTTCTGTGGTGACGTTGAGAGCGGATGAAACTGAAAGCCAACGAGCGAGCTCGAAGTTAAGCAACTCCGGAGGTGTCCTGTTTGTCCGCTAGGACGCTCGTAGTGCCAAACTTCTCATTCTGTAGGCATTGGGCCATTGGGCCGGGCCCGTCATTTGCTCATCTTCCTTGGGGCGCTCAGGTGAACATCAAGCTGAAGCCACACGCGGTGTCGCCGCTGTGGCCAGACAGCAGCATCAAGCAGCAGCCCTATGGCATGATGGGACCATACGAACCTTGAAGATGGTGGGAGTGGCTGTGGAGTGAGTGTGTGGGTAAAGGTTTTTCAGTTTATCAGGTTTCTGTGGTTGAGATGGCTTGAAGTTCGTTTTAATACCATGACCACTACTATCCTTGCTACTGCTTCTATTGGGGTGAAAGGGACTCAGTGCGGGAAAAATGAACACCATCAGCCTGTGCGGATTTAGACTGCTACAGCTGATTCAGATGATTTCAATCCTTTGGGGGGTCTCACTGCAGTCTTCCTCGGTTCCTCGGTTCCTCAGCCGACCGACCTCCACCATGTCGAGGACCTGTCGCACCTGGTCCTCGCATCACAGCGTCCCACAAGCCATCCGACCGCAGCCCGCTCCGTCCACGGTGCCGCCGTCCCCGAGGAATTTCCGATGTACATCGATGAGGGCACAGGTTGGCAGGACTCACCTTGAACCCTGATGGGTCGTGATTGGTTGTGAAGTCGTGAAGGACTTGATTTGGCCAAAAGTGAGTCCTTACTATGTGGATGGGCTACTGATCAGAGGGGTCTGGATTGGATAGTTTTCGTGGAGAAAAATTGAGGTACAGTTGTGTAAAAACTGAAGCGAAGTCAAACGGTGATCTTTCGAACATTGATTGAATGTTTGCAAGTACTGGTTCCGGTTTACAAAAAGGACTCAACAGATTTGCTCAAACACATGAGAACATTTGAGCGCTTCATATTACCAATCTGGACCATTTTGCCACTCTATCATGAGAACGGTACCACACCAATACTACTTCCCAATGTTGAGCACTTCATTCATTAGAGTAATCATATTTCATGTCACTTAATTTTACTTCATTGTTCCCTCTCATTCCATGCTTTTGTTCCCTGATGTTCTGAACCTCACCTATGACTATGACCTCATGATGCTTCGACCTTAAAGGTTTGACATGCACTCTAGTATTTGAAACCGCTGTTCATTTGACATGCGCTTCATTTGTATACACTTTATTCATTTCAGATTGTGAAAAGATAATAATAAAAAATACCATTTGAGTTGACTATCAATTCCACCTACCATTCTTCATCAGACTTGTCATTGGATGACCGGATGACCGCAGATCGAGACAGACGGATTGGACACAGATTGGAGCGCTTTGAATGTGAAAAGTCTGGTCCAAAAAAATGTTCTTCATAAACATGAGCACTTTCGTTCAAGCTGTGGCCAAAGTCAAAGCAAAGGCAAAGTCTAAGAGACGATTTCTTCCGTGCAAGAGGAAAAAACATGAACTTGAAGCTCAAGCAAGAGAACCTCTTCATCCAACTTTTGACCAACATCAGGATGCAGTTGAACCTTGAGCTGAGGATCAACCATCAGGGGTTGAAGCGCCAGCCGCTGAAGCTTTTGAAGCACCAGCTGTTGAACCGCTTGAAGTGGCACTTGTTGCTCATGAAGCGGCGCCGTTGAAGTGGCGCCTCTTGAAGCTGTTGAAGCGGCGCCTGTTGCTGTTGAAGGCCATGGAGAACTGCGAGCCGAGAGTCAGAGCTGCACGGGGACCAAGTCGTGGCTGTGAATATTTGGCAAGATATTGAATGCCCTCATCGTCACAAGATCTCCGGACAGATCAAGTTGGACCCTACGCCTGGCTCTCGAGATCCGCCGACATGTTGCTGATCGCAAGGGAACCTCAGGGTGGCTCTTTTGATTGGGGAGGGCCCAGAGGGTCCTACCCAATGGGTGATGGACAACTCGGAAGTGTTGTGATGCATGAAAAGCAGGCGGTGCTGAGTGATGGTTCTGTCTCTGTGCGACATTTGAGCTGTTGACTCATTCGTTTGCGCATTGTTTCTCTCAGGTCGAACTTCTGAGGGTGGGTCTTGGTGACATCAAACATGGCTACAGTGCAGTGCACCATTCATTAAACGTCAGGACACAAACGGGTAAAACGAGCAGTAAGTACACTACAAGACATGAACTCCTTACACAAATCCCTCCACACGCAAGGACCAGAACTCCTTACGCAAATCCTTCCACAGACAAAGAGCAAAGATTGCAGAAAATGAAGCAACTATCAATGAAGATCTTCTCACATGCCATTGAACAAAGATTGCGCAGACAGATTGCGCAAAGAAAAGGGTTGATGTAACTGTATACGGTTTACCGTGCTATATTGTTCTTTGTGTTTATGTTTACTGTATAAGATCCTTGCACTGTATAGTATTACAATGTTCCATGATTGTCCTGTCCCATGTTCACTGTGGTTTGCTTGGTTCTCATCAAACAATCTCGAGAACACACATCAAAGTCTCAAACGAGACTTTTGCAAAGGCGTCTGATCTAAGCCCTGCTATATAATGTAAACCCCCTTTATTTTTTGATAAGTGAGTGAGGAGATTTTGCAAATTGATTTGGCAGATTCCTCAGATCTCCACCAGTTGGCATCATTTGCGAAGATTGGTTCGCCCATGCGTCCAAGAAATGCGTTCGGGCAAATTGGTTGTGCTTCAGGCTGAAGGTTTTTCACAGGACCTCCCCCAAACCTACCAACGACATGGTCAATGTGTACCGGTGTACCCTGCAAACACCAATATCAAGAACTATTTCCCTTTACCAAGACACTAAGCCGTCCGGGGCATGGCAAGAATCGAGGCACAGGAGGGTGTGCATGCTCCATTCCTCTCCCCCCGGGCCCGCAGGACTGGCCGAGCTTGTACTTCCGACGGGTGCAGAATGCGCCTTGTTATGCATGTTGGCTGCTTCACATAGTGCATGAATGCTCATGATAGTTTGGTGCCTTATAGCTATGCTGGGAGTGTAAGATGATGTTTTCCTTTGATCTCGCCTGAAACCGAATCCTCTTCTTTTTCACAGGTGAACCTTCCTGTCTTGCGTGGGTGGAGCTGGCATCTGGCACTGCGGGATCCACTAAAAAGCATGGAAACAGCCTGCCTTAGGGGGTGGTACGGGTCTTTGGTGCTTTGTTTTGTTGAATACCGGAATGCCAACTTCTGTTCACCGGATTTCTACAGCCATCAGGGACATTCTATTCCGAGGGGGACTGTTTCCCGAACATCCAACCAATCTGCATCAATCAATGCCCATCCAAAGCCTGGTTTGCCAAGCAAAGATGCTGGAGGGGACTCAACTGGTCTAGCCAGCTCACCGACATGATGGTACTACAGAGAACTGGATACAGGCGGATTAGTGATTGGCCTCATAGTCCAAGCACGTATATCATTGAAATGGGATACGATTCACCTGAGGATATCCTGTGTTGCTTCGGGAAGTCGATGACAATATGTTGCATCTGTGGACGGACATGAGTTTCAGTGCGGACATGAGACTGGCTTGAGGATTTGTCGCAGCAGCCGCAGCAGCGCTACAATCAAGTACGACTTTGGTATGCGGACGGGTTTCAAAATGTTTTCCGAGGCCCGATCGGGTTTCCAGGTGCAGTTGGTCTTCCGAACTCCCTTTGTCACAATGTCACTGGATGTTTGTCGCAGCATGCCGGGCTGAAATCAACAGCAACCTGGACCTTAATTACTAATTAGTAGTTATCCAGTGGCTGGTGGTTGACCATCAATAATGTAAAAGGGCAAGCGGTCTACAGTTAATATGTTCTTATAATCAAGTACTGTATTTTCAATATAGGACTGATTCGTTCCTAGCTCATGTGGGCAGGAACGGAGCAAATGATCTACGCAGATCAAACCCAGGTTGAGGAAGGAACTCAAAGGGTGTTTGTGTTTTCCGTCCATTCCCTTTGCTCCGTCCAAGGCTCTTCAACTTATTTCTAGTGGCGGGATTTCAGACGTGTATGTAGATTTGGCAGTGAACTACACACACACGTGTGAAGTAGGATGACCACGCAAAGCCACCTCATGAACGAAGTTGTGACGATGAGGTTTCTTCACCTCATGCTCATCTACCGTCGAGCCGTGTCCGATTGCACACACGTGTGTTTTCTTGTCGAACCTTGGAGCTTCCAGACACGATGTGGTATTTGTAAACATGCTTGTGACAACAGACACGATGGAATGTGGTATAATTCCATCAATTCCGTCACGGACACGCCGCCAAGTTCAATTGTTTCGAACAGGAACCTCTCTACCAGAACCAGCCAATGGGCGTCCAATGGACTACCTTACACGTCCCTACACTACTTAAAGATGGCCTTTGGACACTGATTGGATGGTCCAGGTAGGACATGCATGGCCCGGAACACCTGCCCTTGGGAGGCTCAGATGACGCCGTCTTGCTTTGCGAGGTGAAAGGCCCCCATAGCCTGCAGCAGCGGACGTTGGGGAGGCGGGGTTCAACAAACTTGGGACATCCTCAGAGATCTGGTGCTTTTCCGGAAGCAGACCCGTTGCTTTTTCCGGCAACGACGATTGGCCAGCTTTCGAAAGACACCTGGATTTCAAAGCAGGAGGTGCCTCTGATGTCCCCCCATGTGCCACGGTTCTACGCGCACAGAGCCCGCAGCCCGCACAAAAGAGCCCGCTGTGTCCCGCGTCCACTCCAGGCCTTCGAGGCCGATCTATCGCTTGCCCTATGTGCTGAACCAGGAGTTGGGCGTCTTCGAGGTGGTTCTGCTTGTCCGTTCGAGATGAGAACACCTCAGAAAGGAAGGAATGCCTAGACACGATGTCTCGTGCGGTTCCTAAGAATCTGAACGAAGTTGGACATGGGACCATTTGTAGGGTACTAGGATGTACTAGGGCTTGTAGAAGCTCTTGGTACTTCACATGACGAGGTACAGAAGATAGATGTGACATTTGGGATCCGTGAACATCTGGCTGTAGACGTCGAAGCACGCTGAGCAAAAACAGCCAGCTCAGTCGACCCCCGGAAAGCACGAGTCACGAGTCCAGCTCCAGTGCAGCTCGAGTCCAGCTCGTCCTTCCCTCATCCTTCAGGTGAACCTGGACTTTGCCCAGGCCGTCCGTGCGTTCGACGCCGGGGCTTAGGGGCTTGGGCTTACTCGGTTCGATGTCGCAGAGGTCCGTTGACGGAAAATCGCATGTGGTTCCTGGAACGGCAAGCTCCTGATTGGGAACGGTTAGCCCATGACTGAGAGACCTTGGTTGCTTGTAGCCATGTTTTTTTTTCTGAAAAACCATGAAAAACCTTTCATGAGATCACCTGGTTTGTGAATTGCTCTTTCAAGGATATGACGTTCCACGTGCGCTTGGTGTTGGCCGTGAGTGCCACCGAGCGGAACCCTTTTTTTGAGCTGTTTGAACGCATGGTGTTTGCCTGCAAAAAGAGACCATGAAATGAACATTCTGTTGGAGGATGTTGGAGGGGACATGGATTTTCCTTGGACTTTTTCCGCACGTCTCGCATGACACCTGTTGAAGAATATCCAAAACAGCAACTGTGGAGTGTTTTCTTGTTCATGCCCTAGTCACAAAAGGCGCATACCAGCTGATATTGTTTCAAGAGATCAGACACACCCGTTGTGAATTTCCCATGGACAACCATTCTGCATACTCTACATTGTTTATAGATCCTGCCCAAACATCGACGTTTGTGTTCAGGGTTTCTTATCCAGTCATATCCAGTAAACTGACCTGCAACTCCTTGGTCTTCGCAAGATAGCCCCCACTCAGTAGACATGAAAGACAGCCAATAGCTTGGTATACATGGCTATGTTCGCTTGACAGTTCCCCAGTCCGCCAGGCCGGTTACCACGAGGTCTTCTGCTCCACAGCGGTGCGTGGGGGCGCGAATGCGCAGTACTTCACCCAAAGCGACTGGCAAGGCGATGAGACCCGGCAGGTGGTCCAGGCGGGGGCCGTGACGGATCCACGGGACGCTTGGCAGCTCCAAACACATAGGAAAAACCGTTCCAAAACGAAAGCTGCGGCTAAGACTCTTGGAGGGTCACAGGGTCCATTGGATTTTCCCGATGTTCGGACCATGACCATGGATGACCATCGCATGTCTCCGAAGCCTTCCCCCAGTCCATCGTCCATCCAAAACGACCTCTCCTTCTCCCACATCAACTTGCGGACTGTCATGAGGATAACGTTGATTTGGCAGTGATGCAAGGATAACATCTCCCTCTCCCCTCAAAAAGAAGCGATGCACGCGATGCTTTGACTTCGTGAACCTGCATGCAGGAGGTGAACCTCAGCGTGGGCGTCTTCGAGTCACCGCGCTCTGCACGTTGGGATGCCCTGCTGGTGCCGCCCCGCTCGGCCAACTACACGCTGATCCTCAAAGCGCATGGGCAGGCCATCGGACCTGACGAACAGAGCTGAGTCGTTCACGGACGACTCTTGAGGACCCCAAGGACACCCCCCTGAAAGGGAGGAGGTTCCATTCAAATGGGGGGGGGGTGGTTCTGGTTTTGGAAGAGTCGTCCATTATCCAAGATTCATGTCAGAACTCATGAACCTGTAGGAGTGTTCCCCATCTTCGCGTGACCTCTTCCCTCGTCCGCTGCTGGGTGGTGCGCCTGGACGATCGGTTCCGACTCGGTCCATGGGAGGATCGCTGAACTCGTCCTTCGCTCGTTTTTCCTGAAGATCCCCAGCTCGGTGGGCCATCCAGAAAACGAGGATCTTCCAAGTTTGGCTGGGAAGGGAGCTGATCAGCCAAACATTTGAGATCATTTGAGTTCTGTTTTCTCTTTTGCATGCTGCATGGAGGGGGACCTGCCAGTAGTGGGCTGCCTGAGCACGTGACATTGTGCATCTTGTCAATGGCAATACTGCGTAGTTTTGTACCTATGCATCGTGTGAATATTTACAGCATTGGACACCTGAAAGCCATTGTCCAGTGGAACAGACGTGCCTCAAAACACCAGCTGGCCAGGCCAGCAGGTTTTATGTTTTTTTTGTTGAAATTCGCCCATTGGGTGGCCAGGAAGCTCAGCTGGTCTTTGAGAACCGTTTGCGTGCGAAGATCCGTGCCGTGGGCGAGTTGGACGAGGACGAGCTATGTGCTGTGTGGAGAGGGGGAGAACGTGGCAAAACGATGTGTTTTCCTCCAACGATGCATCATTGGCAACGGATGTGCGCGGCAGTTCCCGTTGTTTATGAGGAAAGTCGAAGGCATGAAGCGGTTTGCGGTTTTTGTTACAACATCCAATCAAAGCAGGCAGTGTTTTCGACGACTCATTGGTCCCATAAATGGATAAAAAGGCACTTGAGCATCCTAGAGCAATGAACAGGTACTCATAGGTCCAAGGAGAATCAGGCTAGCCAGTGCAACTCGAAGCGGTGATTCTGTGATTCACCAGTAGGGGTTTCATGACCTGTACGGGTGGCTGCTTCACTCCCAATCACCCGATTCCTCGAAGGGGAGAGATTGGAATCCAGCCTCAGAAGATCACGACCGCAACTTGGAGCAACTAGAGAGGATAACACCGTTGGAAGAGAGCTCTCTCTACTACTCTTGATGGACAAGCTGAAGGCCTGCACAGCAAAAGCACGAACAAACACATGAAAGACAATCTTGGTGGACACTGCGGTCGAAAATCTCTCTCCGCTTCCAGGATTCTCCCTTTCTTTGTTGTGCTGGGCTCCTACGCAGCCCAACAAAAAAAAAAGAAAACCACTACATTACATCAAGAAAGGGGGTGTCTCAACAACACTAGGAACGGACCAAGAACCTTGTAAATAGAAGAAGATCTTGGTCCGTCGACCCGACCCGACCGACGTTCGGGACCGCCAGCCCGGTCACCCCGCAGGACATCGAGACGCAGATCGGCCCGCTGAATCTGACGGTCTTGGAGCCGCCGCTGGGACCGGTGGATGGGGGGGACGGGGGCAGCGGATGGGGTCGTGTCGAAGCACACTGGCTGTCGTGCTAAAGAAAGAGAGCAGAGTGCCCAGTTGCAGGGGGAAAACCTTGGTGAGCTCTCTTACTTTTGAAAAGAGGTGCCCGGCTGAAGGGGTGTGAAGCTTTTGCTGAACAACTGTGTAGGTAGTTTCCCCGTCAAAATGCAGGGTTTGGTACCCTTCTGGTTGCTTTTTCAGGGCTGCGGGCTGCCGCCGCCCCGTAAGGTAAATGTGGCAAAGACATTTTTGGTGACATGTAGGGGAAATGACTACAGCGACTACGGCGGATCATTGGTTTCATCAGCCCCTGGACCACAAGGGCAAGTTGCTGAACTGTATTCACCACCTGAACCGTAAGGAAGGTGAGAAAATCTCATCTTTGATCATCATAACAATCACTCACTCCTCCAAAGAATCTTGGCTCCTTTTTTCTTTTTGGAGGATTTCTTTCGGAGGATTCCTTGGATGCAGGACGCTACGTTTGGGGCTCCTGGCCTTACTGCCATCGGACGCTACGAACGCGGCTAACACCGAGGTACTCCGTGCAGGTGAGCTGGACCGGCCGCGGCGACTTCACGCCGAGCTCGGTGCAGCTGCGCTGGGAGAGCGACGGAGGGCTGCCACCGGAGGTGATCCCGGCCACGTGCCTTGGGCCGGAAGGAACGGACTCCCTCCCAACACGTTTTTTTTTTTTTTGTGTGTCAGTGGTGTTTATGTTTTGTTTTTCTCGGTCGTGAAAAAGTGCCAGAGTGTGAAAAAGTGCCCATGAGTTTGGGGTCGTCGATGTTTCAGTCGATTTGTTTTTTTCCGGCTGAGTGTGCAAGTGGTTGAGTGGTTTGAGCGCGGTCGCAAGCTAGTGAGTGGCTAGCTCCTTGATGCTTTCCTGTTTGGCCAGGGGTTCAAGAGCCACTCCCTGGTGGGAATATGAAGCAGCTTTATATAAGTAGTAAGTAGTCGCTTTGCCCCAGAGTAGGTGATGGCTTCTCAGCAAAAGAGGTCCCTCGATGGAATCGACCTGAGACGCTCGGGTTTGGTCCTGGGACGGGCTCTTTCGATGGCTGGGCCCACGGAATTCCGCCTCCGAATTGGCCTCCACCGCCTCCCCAAACAGAATTGGATCCCCTTTTTTGGAGAGATTTGGGGATGGGTCACAACCTGGAGCCCCACCATGTGGATTGAAGGTAATACCGTAGAAATACCTTTGACTTCATCATCCACTTCGGAACTTCATCATCCACTCAGGATGGCTGATGCATCCGATCATTTTGGAAGATCAATTCAAGACCTGATCAATGCGTCTTGACTTCCCCCTTCCATGACTTAGGTACCTGTACCACTCCAAGACGCTGCTCATTGGATGCTCGGCCGTGAATAAGCAGAAGCAGATGAAGGGATCATCAGAACGACCCAAGTCGTTTGTAAGGGATGTCCATGTCCAAATGAAGAATCAATCAGTAAATCCATCCCGGCATTTCTTGACCCAACCCCGAACTCCATCGCAGTCTCTTCGCCTTCTGTTCCTTTCAAGAATCTGGGGATGGCGATGGACCCCAAGTAAACAGTCCCCAGGTGACACCCAACAGCCATCCTGTCCAAAACAAACTTGGTACCTGAAACACTATCAAAAGCATTTGCTTTGGTAATGCTCCCTTTCTCTCCGGATCGCACCTCTCCCGATCTTTTCTCTCTGAGGATACCCCCGTGGCATCAATGTCTCGGACGTGCCGGGGCCGGTCCAATCCTTCGAGCGGCTGCAACCCTTCGAGAACGGCAAGGTGGGACGATTGGTCTCAACGGGGGCATGCGGGGGCCATGGAGGTGAGAAACCCAGCGGCCATGGATGTCACATCAAGTCTTAACATCTGGAACTTTTGGTGACACATCTCTATAGGTTCTGCTCAGGTGGAACAGCATCAAACAATGTATTTGCTACATCAAGACTAATTACTTCTACTTCTACTACTACTACTAC